GCTACTCAGGAGACTGAGGCAGGAGAATCACTTGAACCCAGAAGGCAGAGGTTGCAGTGAGCCAAGATCGTGCCACTGCACCCCAGCCTGCACAACAGAGTGAGACTTCATCTCAAAAAGAAAAAAAGAAATAAAAGAAAAGGAACATACTTCCAAAAAGAATTAACAAAACATATACGGTAATATATGTAAAGTGCCAAAGACGTAAGAATCAGAGAAGAAAGGGACTAGTACATTGCAGGTAGCCAGGGAAGGTTTGGGGGAAAAACAATTCGGCTTATTGTTAATAACTGCGATGTACTGATTGCTGACTACATGGCAAACTGTACTAGACACTTTACACACATCATCTTACTTTATCCTCTCAACAACACAGTCAGTACTGTAATTATCTCCAATTTTCAGATGGGGAAATTTGTACTTTGAGATGTTAACTAATTCTGCCCAAGTGGTAAAGGCCAGATTCAAACTCAGATCAGTCTGACTCCAAAGCTAGTGACCTTAAGCAGCAGACTAGAAGAGACTATCTTGAAGAAACACAATACACTCTAGTCTGGAAAATGGTATAAATAAAATCACTTTCACAGTAAAGCACATAACATTATGCTATGCTTGACCACTCAACAGCAGCAAAAACAACAGCAGCCACAGTAGCAACAAGGGCATTTTTACTGAGCACCTACTATGTGTCAAACACTATTCATAGATTATCTCATTTAAGCTCCATAACAGATATATACGGTAGGTCTGAATCCACTTACAGGTAAGAAGACTGAAACTCAAGTTAAGTGATCTTCCCAAGCTAACACAATTAGAAAGGAGCAAAACTAGAATTCAAATCCAGGCTAGTCTGATTCTCAAATCTGTATTCTCTATTACTAGGAAATACTGTCTTCTAGCAGACCGCTCTGGCTGAAATATAAATTGTACCAAGGAGGCACAAGTATCAAGGTAGAAAGGCAGGTAAGAAGCCAGGCATAGTGACTCACGCCTGTAACCCCTGCAATTTGGGAGGTCGAGGTGGGTGGATCATGAGGTCAAGAGATCGAGAGCATCCTGGTCAACATGGCGACACCCCGTCTCTATTAAAAATACAAAAATTAGCTGGGCATGATGGCGCACACCATCATGTAGTCCCAGCTACTCAGGAGGTTGAGGCAGGAGAATCACTTGAACCTGGGAGCCAGAGGTTGCGGTGAGCCGAGATCACACCACCACACTCCAGCCTGGTGACAGAGTGAGACTCCGTCTCAAAAAAAAATGAAAAAAATGAAAAAAGAAAGGCAGGTAAGGCCCAGAAAGTGGCCTGAATGTTTGGATTTCATCCAATGTCCCTTCTTTTGGCAACAGCCAGCAGAAAACACTGTTTGCTCAGGTATACAGATCTATTCGGCCAAAAAGGTACTCTGGAGTGTGGTGGTGCACAGAAGACCCAGGCCTAAGCCAGTCAGCCTATTCCATATCTCTGGCCATAGTGATTAATTTCAAGACGCTCGCTTGGGTCAAGGAGAGTTAGGAGCAGGACTTGTCACGGAGAGTTAGGAGCAGAACAATAAAAACAAAGTTGTTATTTATTGCTGGCAGTAAGGATGCCATGGAATTAGAGCTGCCATGGGCCACCACGTGGCACCAGAAAATGAAACTAACATAGATGGAAGCAAAGCCAAAAGGCAGAGATAGACTAGCTCCTGATGCCACCGATCTAGCCAGCCCTTCTGTGAACTTTTCAGTCTCTGGGCGAATAAAATCTCATTTTTGCTTAAGTCAAGTGGAACCAGACTGTATACTTGCAATGGAAAAATTCCTGGCTAATCGAACTGCCCAAGCAGCCCTTATCTTACGTATAAACTTGGGAAAGAATCAGACCCTCTGTTTCATTTAGCAATCTGTTTCTTTTGCTATTTATGTAATACAAGAATAGCCCATGGGAAATTTTTGCTTAGGAACTTTTAATTGCAACTGAAGACACAAAGGCTCACTCTTCTAAGCTCTGATAATGTGAGCAAACAAGAAAGATAAACAGACAACAAAGGCTACACCAAGGACAGTCTGACTCTGATCAGCTTGTCACAAACGCAGTGAAGCTAGATTTATGCTTAAGCACTGAAGTTGCCACATTTTAAGTTGCTGATACAAGTAGAAATCCACAGCACAGAGTGTGATATTAGGAGATAACAAGCAGCCGAGACTGCCTACTCAAACATTTCCATAAACAACAGCAGTGAGCTTTGACCCCAGACTGCAGTTTTGAGAAACTACTGGTAAAATCCCCTATCCCTTTACAACCCAGATTGCAAATACCTGCAACGAAAAATGCATGAGGGGAAGAAAGCCACTGTTACCAAAACTACAGCATGAATAAAGTACTATGGAGGAGAAAACAAATGAACAACCAGTTGTGGGGTTTTTCTTAGAGGACTTTTTTCGATTCAGGACCATATTCTAAATTTCTATGTTTTTAATATTCAGTATCTTTTCATTTGACACTTATATTTGACATATACTACAGGTTAGAATATTCTGTTTACATTCATTTTGTGTCTCACCAGCTACAGTGAGTCCCTTCAAATCAGGACCTTATCTTTCCATGCCTAAAATAGTGTCTGACACAAAGTAGATGTGTGAAAATACCTGCTGAAAATTATCAAAATGTTAACCACTTGGGTAGTAATGAGTTTATGTTATAATAAATAATTCTGACTTCCTTGCTTAAAATTAATAAATTACCATTTATTCGATGGCTCTTACATGCCAAATGACATGCTAAAAACCATATATAGGCTGGGTACAGTGGGCCACGCCGGCAATCCCAGCACCTTGGGAGGCCAAGGTGGGAAAATCATCTGAGGAGTCTAAGACCGCTTGACCAGCATGGTGAAACTCTGTCTCTAGTAAAAATACAAAATTAGCCAGGGGTCATGGCACAAGCCTATAATCCCAGCTACTCGGGAGGCTGAGGCAGGAGAATAACTTGAATCCAGGAGGCAGGTTACACTAAGCTGAGATCGCACCATTACGCTACAGCCTGGCGACAGAGGGAGACTCCACCTCAAAAAAAAAAAAACTAAATCAACCCATACATAAATGATTGACTCACTTATTTGGATTGAGGTTATCCTAACCAGGAAGTGCAAATAAGTTAAAAGGAAAAATCATGCTTCTTCCTTAGTCTTTTCACTGCTATACTTGAATAGAGCTAGAAAAAATGCAGGGAAGTTCAAAGTGACAGACTTTAGCTCAACCCAAGGAAGATGTTCTAGAAGCAACAGAGCTGTTCTGAAAGGAATGAGCTGCCTCTAGAGGAATTGGTTACTGGAGAAAACCAAGTAAAATTTCAATTAGCAGGCACATTATAGATGATGCAAGCATTGGAGGAGCTGTTAACAGGGTCACTGGGATTGGGACAGTATCCTGGGTTCCACCCTTAAGCCTGCGAGTAGCTGCATTAAGTTTGAACAAAGTCAGTAGCTATAATTTCCTGTCTTTCCTTATCTGTAAGCCTACACTGTTCTCCAACACTCTGTATCCCTTATTATTTCATTGCCTTAAAATGCTTGCAATCTTTCCCCTTGAAAATATGAAAAGAGTTTTAAAATGCTGGCATTCATCTGGCCTACTGATGCAGGACATGACAGAGGTAGATCTGAATGTCTTTTTGGTGCCTAAACATCTAGCAAAGCCCAAGATTGGATAATACAGGGAAAGTGAAGCTAGCAATGTACATAACCCCTACTGTCACAAGTCCTTGACCCTCTCCCCTCCCACTCCATCATACTGACTTTATAGGCCATGGTGCTATGTTGGAAGGGGCAGAAACTGAGCAAAGACTGCATGAAGTTGTGCTGGGGCTTCTTTGCAGCCATTTAAGTCTTAGTCAAAAATATATATCTCTAAGATGGGTTTCAGGCATTATATTAAACAAAAAGCCCTTAGCTTGTTTTGCTTTCAGCTCTTTGCCTGTTTCATAATGATAAAACTTCCCAAGCAGCTGTTGGCCAGAGAACAGCATGTATTAAGACCCAGCAATAGAGAAGGCAAAGTGGGGTTAAAAAACAGAGATATTCAGAGTGGCTGGAATTCAGACTACGAAGTAGGGAGTAGAAAGTTGTGAAAATAGAAAGATAAGCAGGGCCAAGATCAGGAAGAATCTCATTAAGGAGTGTTTACTTCAACCTAAGGGCAACAGTAAGTCACAGAAAGACTTTAAGGAGGGGAAAGAAGCAGCAGACTTGTGTTTTCAAAATCTTGTTTCAATTACTTTTAAATAACCAATAGAGAGGGAAGAGAGGATGCAAGCCACGGACAGAAAGAACAGAGAGGAGTCCTTTCCGGGAACACAGGCAGGAGATGTCAGCTTACACTGCAGTGGTAGCAGTGAGTTGGAGAGAAATGGACAGATTAAGGAAATAAGCACCAGGTAAAATCATCAGGACTTAGCAATAGACCAGATGTGAGGCATAAGAGAAAGAGGGGTCAAGGATGACCTGGACATTTCTGGAAGGGTCAGCTGGGTGGCTGGGGGTGCCATCTCCTGAGATAAACACACAGTAGGCAGTCGAGGTTGAGGGGACAAGGACTCAGTTTGGAACATCTCATGTTTGGGATGTGCATGTGACATCCAAGTAGAGATGTCCAGAAAGTAGTTTTCAGGTCTAAGTTGGAGATATAAGTGCTCATTAGCATTAATAATAATATGCTCATTAGCAAGCCAACCATAACTGAAACCACAGGAAATAATTATTAAGGGAAAATATACAATCCAATCCACAAGGTTAGGGCAACAATATGTGAGAAATCAACTATATTATTCTTTTACACTTCACAGTTTTCAAAAGGCATCACATCCTAAACCAGGTAATACAGGTGTCTTGGAACACACAGGTAAAATACAAATTAATCCCTACAGGAAAAGTGACTTCCACTGACCCACACATGACAGGTGGATCTGAGCTCTAACGACCGGTCAGAATCTAACAATATCCTAACACCATAATACTCACCTGTGGACAAGGCCTCCTCCCGAATGTCACCCTCGCCAGGTTGAGGAATATTCCAGGACGTTTTGGGAAGTGAAGAAATTTCCTCTGGTGATTCTATTCTCACCATATCCATGTGATTGCTCTGGAACTGGTACCGGGGGATGAAGCAGATTTTGCCTCGCCGGAAAATGTCCTTGATGATCTCTTCTGTCTCAATTTCATCTTGCATGCTCAGAAAGATGGAAATTCTTTGGGACTTTTGATACTGACTGTGGGCAATCACCTAAATGGGAAATGATAGCCATTATATTTCCAAGACTAAATTTAGCAACTCCCCTCAACAGTTCCTCCTTTCTCTCTCAGCCTTCTCCAATTTCTTTAAATATTATAAAGAAAAAAAAGGGCACAGTGATATGGCGGGTCAGACAGTGATGCATCCTGAAGGCTTTTAGTTTGGGACCCAGCACTTACCTGCTCCTTTTATCCCTTCCTGGCACACCCACTCTGGTAGGTGTGAAAACTCACTAAAAGGCCACTATGGAGACAAGCTGTCTTTCTAGAGAATTCCAGGCTTGATTCCCACCTACCCATTTGAGTAGTCTCTGGTCATTTCACACGCTTCCCCTACAGTCTGCTTTACCTCTGAACCTTGGCTCCCACAAGGTCCCCCACTCCTTGGATTGTCAGGCTTCTCTCTCCTCCCAAATTCAACCCATTTAAAGCCCAATGCAAGCCCTAACTTTTCCTAACTTCTGCAGAACCCTTAACTACATTTAGAGTTACTATATAACTTAATAATGATGTACTGTCATGAATGGATCACAAATTGTTTCATGTGCCCTAAATGTGGTATCCCTAACCAGTGCAGGCACTGAGCTCTCCGAGGCAGAGAACATGTCTTACAATTCTCTCTTAGCTCTACCAACCCCATTCCATTTCCTAAAATTCATCTGTTCAATTGAATATTAAGATATTCACAATTATGGGGTGGGGGCAGATCCTGATGAAAGAAACCATATTCAGCTGAATCATTTATCAGGCAGGAGAAGGGAACTGAGCTTTGCTCATCACAGAAATGTCAACATTCTCAGGAACTTATCCAGACTCAGAAGTTAGCCCTTAGCTCTCTTTTTCTCTTTTTTCATTTTTTCTTTTTAAAGTCAGGGTATCCCTCTTTTGCCCAAGCTGGAGTGCAGTAGCGAAATCTGCAACTTCTGTCTCTTGGGCTCAAGTGACCCTCCCATCTCAGCCTCCAGAGTAGCTGGGACCACAGGCACATGCCACCATGTCCAGCTGATTTTTTGTATTTTTTTGTGGAGACAGCGTTTCACCATGTAACTCAGGCTGGTCTCGAACTCCTGAGCTCAAGTGATCCACCCACCTGGGCCTCCCAAAGTGCTGGGATTACAGGTGTGAGCCACGGTGCCTGGCCAGCTCTCTTTTTTTCCTTTCCTTTTCTGCTCTTCCCTGTTCTCCAAACTAAAAAGAAAAGAATACTTTCATTCTTTATAAGACTTCTTAGAACTTTTGCTATTATTACATATTTGTAAGCCATAAAAGTAGCTTATAAATATGAATGGCAGAAAGATACAGGAACGGAAAGTCAAGTTATTACTAATAAAAAAGGAAACACAGAAATTAAGTAGATAGAGCACATCAAACTAGTTCAAGGAAGAAAGTTAACTCTCACACTCTGAAAAGTTACAAAATTGTTTTGAGGCCTGAAACAGGCAAAGAGAGGAAATGTGAAACCCAGACTTGGGCAGGCCTGGGGCTATTGGCATCCAAGTACTATATGAGAAAGTTAGGTATCCTTTTTGCTCTCTTGACAGCAGAATATAGAAGATCAAGAGTTGAATAAGCAGTAATAAACATCAGTTAACACTCAGTGTGAGACTGTGCACACACTTATCTTCCTCCCTCAAATCCCATTTATATGACGGTAAAGAAAAACCATTACAGTACTGAGAATAAGAGAACAGAGACCTGACTACTTTCTGGAAGACAACGAGTAGAGGGGACAGTACTTTACTGACAAAACAGCAGCAGGTCACAACACTCAGAGAAGAAGGATGCAGGTCAGGCAGAATCCATTCCTCCCTTAGAATCCCAAAGCAAACCATAAAAGACAGAGGAAATCCCCATTAGCTATGATACCTTCATTCACAAATATGTACAGACAATAAAAGATCATCACACGTTCTGAAAAGGAAAAATACAAAATAGATGGATGGGAAAAAAAAACAAGAAGGGAAGAAAAAATGGACAGAGATAACAGGTAATTTTTTGAAATTCTAATTCGTTTTCTCAGACAAACTCAAGAAGATAATTGCATTTCTTTCATTTTTTTTTTTATATGAAGTTTCACTCTTGTTGCCCAGGATGATCTCAGCTCACTGCAACCTCTGCCTCCCAGGTTCAAGCGATTCTCCTGCCTCAGCCTCCCGAATAGCTGGGATTACAGGCATGCGCCACAACATCCGGCTAATTTTGTATTTTTAGTAACGACAGGGTTTCTCCATGTTAGTCAGGCTGGTCTTGAACTCCCGACCTCAGGTGATCTGCCCTCCTCGGCCTCCCAAAGTGCTGGGATTACAGGCATTTCTAAAACAATAGACTACCCTGGGGAGGAAGCAATCAGAGATTTATGAAATAATCACTGGGAACTAAAATTGTGATTAGCAAAATTAAAACAACTTAGGAGAAAGCCTTGGAGTAGAGGACAAGGCAAAAATAGGAAAAATCAAAAAAATGTTAAGAACCAGAGAAGATTAATCTATGATTTTTATTATCTGATTAACAAGAGTTCCAGAAAGACACAAAGGAAAAGAAATAATCAAAGGAGATACACTTGGCTCATGCCTGTAATCCTAGCACTTTGGAAGGCCAAGGCGGGTAGATCACCTGAGGTCAGGAGTTTGAGACCAGCCTGACCACCATGGTGAAACCCCATCTCTAGTAAAAATACAAAATTAGCTGGGCACGGTGGTACATGGCTGTAGTTTCAGCTACTTGAGAGGCTGAGGCAGAAGAACCACTTGAACCCGGGAGGCAGACGTTGAGCCGAGCTCACGCCACACAGCACTCCAACCTGGGCAACAAGAGTGAAACTCCATCTCAAAAAAAAAAAAAAAAGAAGAAGAAGAAGAAAAAAAACACTAGTCTCCATACTGAATGGGGGCCAAGGGGCCATGGGGGCTGAGCAGAACAAGAAAAATCATTTTAAATTCGAAATTCAAACTATCAATCAAGTATAAGGGTAAAACATTTCCTAATGTATATTTAAAAGTTTACCGGCCGGGCGCGGTGGCTCAAGCCTGTAATCCCAGCACTTTGGGAGGCCGAGGCGGGTGGATCACGAGGTCAAGAGATCGAGACCATCCTGGTCAACATGGTGAAACCCCATCTCTACTAAAAATACAAAACATTAGCTGGGCATGGTGGTGTGTGCCTGTAATCCCAGCTACTCGGGAGGCTGAGGCAGGAGAATTGCCTGAACCCAGGAGGCAGAGGTTGTGGTGAGCCAAGATCGTGCCATTGCACTCCAGCCTGGGTAACAAGAGTGAAACTCGGTCGCAAAAAAAAAAAGTTTACCACCCCCATAGATACGTCCTCAAAAAAAATTATCTGAAGATATACTCGAACAAGATGAAGGGAAACCAATGCAAGAAAGACAAAGAGGCTAGACTCAAAAAGCAGCCCCAACTCCGAAGTGGAGTAAGGAGGAACCCCAGAGCAATGGCTGTGCGATGGGCCAGAGGCAACCAGACCACAAAAAGCAAGAAGCTGGAGTGTTTTCAAAAAGAGAGCGGATTTATTTTAACAGACAACGAAAAAGAATTGATTGATAAGATAAACGTATATTCTTGATTTGTCAAAAAGGAAAAATAAAGGCAATCAGAAGCTACTGGAGAAATACAGAACTAAATTAGACATATACTCCAAATGAAAACAAAGCGAAACAGAGAATGGTTTTGAGCCATTATGGGGGAAAAGAGGAAAGCTTTGGTGCTGACCCTTGGAGCATTACCTTCCGGGCTACACGTATCTAGTGACGTAAAGTTATGTCTTTTCTTACATATTTCATCACACAACTTGGTTCTAGGATGAATGCCATCTATAGAACAAAAATACAAGGAATAACTCAGTGCTTTACGTATTTCTGTAAATACTCTTTACTGTAAATACTATTTCCTGAAATCTCAAGTTTGGAAATCGGTCACAAATACTGCTCAGTTAGACTCATAGTTACAGAACAAAGTTTAAATATTACAAAATTTGACAACATAAAAATATAGATGTCAGAAACTGACAAAGGGAGTAGAAAACATAGTGAGTAAAAGGGCACTAATTTCCTCATCTTAGTTATGGACTCAACATATGACATAAAGCTGAATTTCTTTACCATATAAATTACTTCTCTGACAAATTTCTAAATTATAAAAAGGTACAGTGCCAATTAAGAATAAATATGCTTTTCTAAATGAAAAACATAATTTAACACCTTTATTGAGCATTCACTATGGCAAAACACTACACAGTACACTGATGTTTCCAGCAATGATCCATTGGTCAGTCAGGAAATCAACAGTGGGCTACAATCAGAATTTTTAAATGAAACAGAATAGAAAATATTAAAGTTCAAGTTGGGTGCAATAGCTCACACCTGTAATCCCAGCACTTTGGGAGGCCAAGGCAGGAAGATCATGAGGTCAAGGGTTCGAGACCAGCCTAGCCAACAAAGTGAAACATCAAGTCTACAAAGAATACAAAGATTAGCAGGGTGTGATGGTATGTGCCTGTAGTTCCAGCCACTTGGGAGGCTGAGGCAGGAGAATCGCTTGAACCTGGGAGGCAAAGGTTGCAGCGAGCCGAGATTGCACCACTGCACTCCAGCCTGGGTGACAGCCTTTCTCTGTCTCAGGAAAAAAAAAAGAATATTAAAGTTTCTTGTATGTGGTAAGAGCTGTAGAACATTAATGTATTTATTACTGAGGGTCATGGGTCTGCTTTTTAATTTTTCTCTCTCCTCTATGTCTCAGTTGTCATTCTATTGTCAGTAATTCTGTATCTATGTAGCTACTATTCCCATCTATAGTTTATGAATTCTAATCTTCTGTGGACAAAGACACCGTAGAAGATTAGAAATTGAATTCACCTTTATTTACCCCATGCCTCTCCAAAATTTGTTCCAATTCCTACATTCCTTATGCCCAAGGTTAAACATCATTATATCAAAGCTCTAAATTTTGAAATCATAGGTCACTCCCCTCCCCTTCCAGTATTCTCTAACCTCTTCCAATCAGTTGCCAAGTCCTGCTGTTTCTCATTGAATAGTCTCCCACCTGCCTCCTTTCCGCCTCCCCCACCCCTACCTCCCCACCTTTCTTCACTACCCATGCTCTCGTTTGCATCTTTTTTTTTTAATTTTTCGTTGAATTTATTAAGTGTAATTTATAGAGAACGTGGTGTCATTCACAACACAATGAAGAAAATCATGAAACAAGCCGGTTTGATGCAAGAAGAAAGAGAATTGGAATTCTCTACTTTGTCAAGTACTAAGCTGAAAGTATTATGGATATTCGGTTAAAGTTTGGACATCATGAATTTGAGATACAATTAAAGTAACTATGTAAACGTCTCAAAAATTTAGGTTAGATGGATATCCAGTTGGCATGGATGAAGACATAGATTTGAGATTCATCCACCAGATGACGAATGGTGCTATAGACTCCCTGTGTGAAAATACTTGATGAAAATGTAATAATAAGGCAAGGCTGAGTTAACAGCCAGGAGCAGGCAGCATCCTGAAGCCAGATATTGCTGGAAATCCTAAAGGGTATAGTCTATGTAAACAGGAGGAAATGGAATCTTTTTCATCTTTCACTTGAATTGGCACAACAGCCCCTCACTGGTCTCTGTACTTTTTTTTCTCCCTTCCTCCCTCAACCCATTATCCAAATACTGCCAGTGTACTCTTCCTAAAGGACGCATCAAAAAATAAGTAAAGCACTGAATACATCCCTTTACACACCTCTTTAACTCTCACAATACACCTACAAGAGTGATATTATCCATTTTATAGACAAGGAACCAAAGGTTCTGAGAGACTTGTCCAAGACCATAGAGTTAAAAAACAATGGTGCCAGATTAAGCCCAGATCTGTGTAGTTCCAAAGTCCATGCTAAACTGTATTCTGTCATCTCTTGCCTAAGTATCCCTACTCACATTCCCCTATCCCATCTTTCCCTTCACCTGACAAAATTCATCTCTTGTTCTCCAAAATTCATCTCAAACATTTTCCTATAGAAAGCTTTCCAGGCCCGGTGCAGTGGCTCATGCCTGCAATCCCAGCACTGCAAACTCCAGATCACTAGGTCAGGAGTTTGAGACCAGACTGGCCAACATAGCGAAACTCCATCTCTACTAAAGAGACCAAAAAAAAAAAAAAATTAGCTGGGCATGGTGGGGGGTGTCTGTAATCCCAGCAACTCGGGAGGCTAAGGCAGGATAATCACTTGAACCTGGCGGCGGGGCGGGGGGAGGAGGCTGCAGTAAGCAGAGATCATGCCACTGCACTCCAGCCTGGGCAACAAGAGCAAGACTCCATCTCAAAAAAAAAAAAAAAAAAAAAATAGAAAGCTTTTCAATTCCCCCTCCCCAAGGCTAGTTTCCACAATATTACAACATTGGTGTTTACCTTTATCATATATCTGGCTTCAGTGCAATTCTTTATTCATGTCTGTTTCCTCTCCTAGGCTCTCTGCTCCTTTAGAGCAACAATCCTATCTTTTTCATCTCCACAACCCAGTGCATGGCCACGTGTGCACTACATAGCTGTTCAACATATGTGAATGAATTAGCTAAATTTTGAACAACTACATAGTAAGGACAAGAGTCTATATCCTTTATATCTACTAAAACACCCAGCAGTGCTTCCTCGTAATAGCTAAAATATTTGCTTGAAAGAACAAATTAATATCTGTATAGATTCCGTCATGCACACCTACATACATGAAGAGATGGGTGAAATGAGCATATTTGCTTTACTGCTTTAACCCATGGGTACCTTGAATTGAAGTAAATAATGGATAATAGAACAGTGAAGGATAATTAAGAAAGCCTGACGGTAAAACTGATTCCAACGAACATCAAGTCTCCAAATATCCACCAGTATCTCGGAGACATGATGTTGGGAAGACAGATCATCAGTCTGACTTACCAAAGAATTACAAATATGTACTTATTCTGGGGACATTAAATTTTTCTTCCCCTCGTGTCTAACAAAAATGAGTCCCCAAAAACTCTTTAGAACATGCCTTCACGACAGGATATGGCTGCCATTTTATTGACCAAAAAAAAAAAAAAAAAAAACTGCCATTACAAAGACAGACTGAAAATACATAGCAGTGGAGTCGGTGAAAGTCATACACCCGAGGTCTGCTAACCAACAAACAGGGACCCTCACTTACTCCTCAAATTTCTCTCTTCTGCTTCCTACGCTCTTGGGAAGCCTGGGTGTGATAGCCACGTCTTCCTTTCATTCACTCAAGAAACAGCATTGAATGCTGAGGCTCTGGAGCTCGGGAGACGCAACCTTAGCCCTCCATACACTTAGTGGAGTGCAGCCAACATCTGAGTTCTACCCTTCGGCATCTCCACCCCTTTTCCGGTGCGCCCTCGTTGGAAGCACCTGCATCTTTCTCTGCTCATTTACTGATATAGCTGGAGTCTTACTCGTAGCTCTTTATCTTTAGGACTCACCTGGCGCTCAGGTGTTCACCCATCTCCTCTACCACAAATTTCTGTTCTCACCCTGCTCTCACCACAGTACCGTCATCCCCACTGAGGAGTTTTCAAGCAGCACAGACGCCACTCATGCAAACGAACTCTCCTCCCAGAGAGAAATCTGCCAACCACCACCGCCCTCTCCCTCGTCAGCCCCGCAACTGTCATCTCCGGCCCCTCTCCCCGCCATAGTTCCCGAGAGCACCTGGACCAGCCCGAGGGCACGTGCGCGCTCCCGGGTGGGACGTGCGCGCGCCTGGAGGGGGGACGTGCGCGCGCCCGGAGGGGGACGTGCGCGCGCCGGGGCGCGTAGCGCAGCGCCTGCGCGGAACCTGCGTGGATCCGCGGGCGCCGGCCGCCGGGCCTTCGGGGGGTCTGCCCGCCTCGGCTTCCGCGGTGGGCGGTCTCGCACCTTCTGGGTAAGCACGCGGGACTGGCGTTGCCGCTCCTCGGCGCTCATGGCCCGCAGACGCTGCTTCAGCTCGTTCCGCAGGCTCCGCTTGGCGCCGCTCACCGCCGCCGCCGCCATCGCACGGCCCGGCCGAGTCCGATCCCGCCCTCGGTGCCCCGGGGTTCGGTCCCCGCCCCTGGCCGCTCCCAGGAGGATCCGCGGCCTAGGGGAGGGTCTGGTCTCGGGGCAGCGCCCCCCGGCCCGCTTCCGGGTCGCGCGCCTGCCTCGCCTCCGGCCCGTAGGACCCGGCGCTGGCGCGGCCCGCGTGGTCCGGCCCGCCCTCCCCGGTTGGCGGGACTCGTGGTGGGGCGCCGCGGCCGCCTGCCCCCGGACCTCCCTGGGCCCGGGACCGCGGCGGTGGCAGAGCCGCCGGCGGGGACGGTAAAAGCATCTGGCAGTCTCCCCGGGGCCTGGGATCCCCGAACTGTGCAGGACCCGGGCCTCGGGGGCCAGGAAAGGAGGACAAGGCAGGGCAAGCAGCGAAGTCATCACCATTTCCTTCTTGTGCGGACATCAGCGTGGTTACCCAAAGCTGCTGCACACCTGACGCAGCGTATTTTCTACTGAATACTGTAGGCAATCGTAGCATCATGATACCTGTGTATCTCAGCACAGAAAAGGTAATGTGTTGCTTGGCTACCGCATCAGTAGGTATTAGGAATTTTTCAGCTCCATTATCATCTTAAGGGACCACAGTGGTTGATGGAAATGTCTCCTTATGTGATGAATGTGTAGATGCTACATAGCAGCATTGTGTAACAGAAACACAATGTGACTGACCTACATCTGTAATTGTCATTTTTGGTAGCCACATTTTAAAAAGAAAAGTAGGAAAAATTAATTTTTTAAGATACAATTATTCCAATATGTGAATCAATATCAAATCACTGAGATTATTTTTCATAACCCTCAAAATCCAATTAGTATTTAGTACTTATAGCTCATCTTAATTCAAACTAGCCACATTTCACTACCATAGTGGACAGCAAGCACAGCTCTAGAGGATAGAAAGCCTATTTTTTCTTCTCGTTCTTAATTCGTCCAACATTGATTTCAATGTACTTATATTTGTAATATGAATTCTATTATATTGTAAAGTGCATTGTCTTGAAAATCATGAGAACAGTAAATCCAAATTAAAGCAATACCTTTGAAGCTATAAAAAGGTTGATGGTTTCTTTTATAATCTATTCTCTTTATAATAGTTTTAAAAATACAGGATAACCCAATTAGCTGGACATTTTATTTAATTTACAATCTATAATCATACAATTCTCACTGAAAAGTACCTCTGAGATCATCTAGCCTAAGGCCCTCTTTTATTTGAACAAATGAGGAAACTGAGGCACACAAAAAAATCAGTTATCTAAGATTAGTCAACCCCTTGGTGCTTGGACCTGGATTAGAATGCAAACACCCACTTCATTTCACTCCATGCGTTTCAAAACAAACGCCAAAATATTCTAAAACTGTCAAAACATTTTTTTTTTCAAATGTTCATCTAACAAGTATTTGCATCTGCATGTTACAGATTACAAAACCTGGGGTTACAATGCCTGCGAGTAGCTCAGAGCCTAGTGTGACTAATACTGAAACATAAACCAAACGTAACTCTTTGGTAGTTGGCAGAGACTTGAGAGCAATGTGGTGCCTTGGAATCATTTTATGAGCATCACTGGCAGAGCAGATGATACCTCCAGCCCGGGGGATTTCTTTTGAAAGACTTCCTAAGAAAGCCATTTTCTGCGTCCTCGTTAAGTGTGGGTTGTGCTCTGAGACAGCTGTCATGCCTTGACAGAGGAAGGAAACTGTCCCTCTCTTCTTCCTCTTTTTCTCCTGCCAGTACATACTCAGAGATTACACTCTAGGGAGGTATCCACTTCATTGTGCTCCTTCCAAAAGCCCATGTTTTGCAAGTATAATGAGGCCCTCTGAAATGATTTTTATTATTATGACAATATTGTCTATTATCATTGAGCAGTTAACATGTCATTCTATACACATCAACGTCTAAAGAAAAGACAGTGAACAAAGAAAATATTGATGAATTCCACCAGATGAAGATTAATTTTTTTTTTTTGAGATGCAGCCTCCCTCTGTCGCCCAGCCTGGAGTAAGTGCAGTAGTGTGATCTCAGCCCACTGCATCCTCCACCTCCTGGATTCAAGAGATTCTCCCTCAGCCTCCCAAGTAGCTGGGACTACAGGCATGTGCCACCACACCCAGCTAATTTTTTGTACTTTTAGTAGAGACGGGGTTTCACCGTGTTAACCAGGATGGTCTCGACCTCCTGACCTTGTGATCCACATGCCTTGGTTTCCCAAAATACTGGGATTACAGGTGTGAGCCACTGTGCCTGGCCAAAAATTTTTTTTTACTATGAAAAACTAAAAAGAACAATAGGAAAATATTTACATATAGCATGGTTATGTGTGTATTACATGTATATTACATGGTATATTACATATATGGCAGAAATCTTTACAGGCCATACCGGTAATAAAGCATAAAAAATTGGTCAAGAACAGCAATAGCAAAAAAGATATATAAACATACCTTTAAAATTAAAAATATACTTTAAGTAAATATATCTCAAATATACATATTTTTCCACCTAGACATTTTAAATTTGGAATCGGAAGAACGAATCAATATTTCTTCTTCAACCACACCCTGTGTAGAGCTGAAGGAGAGAACACACATGAGAACATCTACTTCTGTCAAAGCGCTCCGTCTTTCTCCCTGGAGCCTTTGCAGGCCACTGCAGAGGAGCCCTGCATGAGGCGTGAACACCTTCCGCATCGCAGAGGGACCCTCAGCACGGGCATTAGCACAGCAGTGTCAGAAAGCAACTTTAGCACTTCAATGTTGTTGAGGTTAAACACATATTTAATATACCATTTTATATGTTTATAAATATATAAACGTGGATCACATCTACCTACATAGATTTTTGTCATTCTTACTCATTTTCACAAAGTAGGTAAAATATTTTAATTTTCTATTAATTCAAACTAATTTTAGAACCTATAGGAATACTGCAGATAGAAACTTCTCTGAGAGGACAATTGTTTAATTTTGTTGTTGTTGTTTTGAGACGGAATTTCGCTCTGTTGCCAGGCTGGAGTGCAATGGCGAAATCTCGGCTCACTGCAACTTCCACCTCCTGGGTTCAAGTGATTCCTCTGCTTCAGCACCCAGATAGCTGGGACTACAGGCGCACACCACGATGCCTGGCTAATTTTTTATTATTATTTTTTTTATTTTAGTAGAGATGGGGTTTCAGTATGTTGGCCAGGCTGGTCTTGAACTCCTGACCTCGTGATCGACCCACCTCGGCCTCCCAAAGTGCTGGGATTATAGGCGTGAGGCACCGCACCCATGTAGGGTGCTTTATTTGTAAAATATTGTAAAATATTTGTGAAACGAGGGGAAAAGCTCCCATGTACTATTTATGAAAGTCATATTAAGTGTGGGTCACAGTTTCATCAAGAAGTGGCTTATGACAATACAGCTTTGGTTTAGATTTTTAAATAGGACTCTTTTTCTCTGCCCCTAGGTGGACGTGGAAATGAAGGATGGATGTAACTGTCTGAATCAGAGCTCTTCAACATGCCAGACTCACTTCTTGTTTTAAAAAATCAGAGCCAGGGCTCTTGTTCCACCCTGGACTCTTCACACAAAGCAGCACCATCCTCTGCTTTCTTCACACGTGGCAAGCTTTACTCCACTACCCAAAGGGGGGTGCTGATCCACACGGTCTCCCCATCTCCGCTAGAAATTGATCCCAAACACCAATACCTTATCATGCCCACCCCTCCCCGACATCCAAAATGCCCAGGCCACCATCCGAAAGCCGGTCTCTTATACATAGCAGTTTCCCACCTCCGACTCCTCCCCACGGCGCACAATCCAACTAACCCACAGACCCCAGCAGTGTCCAGCACCGAGGGTCCACAATCCAGAGAAGCAGCTACAAGCCCCGTTACTCGCATGCCTCGAACCCCCAACTCCAGCTGGCCTTCCCTCTGCAATACCAGATCAAGAACACCACGAGTCCCCGCGGGAGGGCGGACCTGGCTGCAGGAAGCCAGGCGCGGGACCGCAGGGACCCCCGGGGACGCTCTCCGCCCCAGGGCCGGCCCCGCCCCGCGCCCTCCCGCTCTCTTCCCGCTCCTCCCAGGGTGGCAGGCGCTCCAGCTCCTCCAGCAAGCCGCCCTCGCGGCTCCGCGCTGCTCGTCCGCCTCGGCTCCACCCGGCGCGGCTGCCCGAGCTGGCGCGGAAGCCCAGGGGGAAGCCTCGAGGGGACCCCGCGCCTTAGGAGGGAGGGCGGGCGCCTGCGAGGCGGAGTGTCCTCCGCGGTTCGTGCTGCTTCCCCGGCTTCTTCGGCAGCTCCTGCAGCTCCCGCACCTCCGGGTCTGCGTTCGCGTTGGAGTCAGCGTCCTCCATCCCGGCCCGTGCCGCCATCCGCCCTGCGTCCCGCCACCTCCCGCGGGTCGGCCCGCCGGGTGGCCTGAGAGTCGCGGGTGGGCGTGGCCGCCGGCGGGCGCTGGGAGAACCGAGCCCCGAGCTCCCGTCGGGGTGGGGCCTAGGCCGGAAGGGGCGTGTGGGCACTGCCGGCGGAAGTGGGAAGCCGCAGAGGGCGGGGAGGTGAGCGGGAGGCGAGGGGCAAGATGGGCTGAGGCGGCCAACGCGGTCCTCGTCCACCCCGCCTGTTGGTCCGGGCGTGTGGGGTGTTCTCCACCCACTTACACGGCGAGTGGGACCCGCGGATCGGTCCCGCCCGGCTCCGGGCCAGGTCTCGAGTGGGCGCTCGACGGGGTCCGGGGAGAGAAGTTGACTTTGTTGAGCAAATATTTAATCGATGGCTGCTTTTCATTGGAGATTGTCTCCGCTGGCGGCAGCCTCGGAGACCGCCTGTGTCCCGTTTCTTCCTCTGAAAGTAAGAAACCTGAAGTGTCGGACGAGAGGTCCAAGGTCAAAATAATCAGAATTTCGTGAGTGCTTCCTACCGGCCGGACCCTAGGCCAAGCGCGTTCTTGTTGTTGTTGTTGTTTGGGGGGGGGGCGCGGAGAGTCTCCCCTCTCGGGCTGGGGTAGGGGCGCGATCTTGGCTCGCTGCAACCTCCGCCCCCCGGCTTAGAGCGATTCTCCGGCCTCACGCTCCCGAGTAGCTGGGGTTACAGGCGGGCACCACCATGCCCGGCTGATTTTTGCATTT